CAGCTCGCGCACCACCAGGCGCAGGTAGTGGAAGCTGGCGCGCGACAGCGCCTTCACCCAGGCCTCCAGCGCCGCCTGGCTCTCGGCCGCCAGCGCATAGCAGCGCGCGCGCGCCCCCGCGAAGCGCACGGCGAAGGCGAACTCCTCGGCCGCCTCCACCAGCTCCACCGTGCAGCCCTCCAGCACGATGACGCCCAGCGGCTCGCGGCTGCCCGGGCCCTCGAAGTAGAAGAGCATGTTGCCGCGCAGCACAAACCAGCGGCGGTGCGAGGCCGCGTGCCGCCCGCCCTTCTTGTGCAGGAAGCCCGCGTGGTCCACCGGCGCGTCGCACGTCGCGTAGAAGGCCAGGCTGCGCTCGTTCAGCTTCATGGTGGCCGGGCCTGTCCCCACCCCCGAACAGCAAGTTACCTGTGAGACCACAGCGCTCAACAGCCCATTTCACAGGAGAGGAAACTGAGGCTGAGGGGAGGCAGCAGGCGGAGCTCACACAGCTCCTAAGAAGCAGAAAGAGGTGCTGGGCGAGGTGACAGATGCCTGTAATCCCAGCAACCAGGAGGCTGAAGCAGGAGGGTCACCAGGAGGTCAAGGCCAGGCTGAAAAGACCCTTTCTCAAACAAACGAACAAGAAAATACTCAAACCGGATTCTGCCTGGCCCCAGAAGCAACTTCACTGCCCCCTACTGACCAGAGTCCCCCAAAATAATGTGGAGACTTCCTACTGCAGGCCAGGTACTTCACATAGGAACTCAGCCCCACAGTAAAGCGTAGCAGGCAGGAAACTGGCCTTACTCCAAGTGGGCAGACGGGGAAACAGGCACACAGCGGTTAGTCATTCACCCAAGGTCACAAAGCGCACTGGGCAGAGATGAGATTCAACCCCAGGCCTCATCACAGGCAGCGTGACTTCTACCACCCAAGGGACCAGAACTCCATAACCAGTTCTGGCTTCTTGACTCAGGCCTGGTTTCTCCATCATGAAACAGGGACATGAAGAGGATCTACTTCAGAGCTGCAGGAACTTCCTGTCAGATACTAAGTGCCTGTTGTGTGTCAGGCAGGGCTGCTCCAGACACCCAGCTATAAACCAGATGGCCAGGGCTCACCCTCCTGGTACTGATGCTAGTGCAGCTGAAAGAAGCACGTAATGGACAGACTCAGGAGGGGAAGGACGGGGCCCAGGACATCTGGAGCAGCAGCATGAGGCAGCAGGAATGGCATGTGCAAAGGCCCTGCGACAGGGACCTACTGGTGTGCTCATGGGGCACCTGGAGGCCAATCTGGCCAAGGAAGAGTACGGAAGATGGAGAGAGGAGAAAATGAGACCAGCTATGAAGCAAAACTGTTTGGAAATAGTCTGGACCAAGACATGGGCCCTGGGCTCGCAGGCAGAAAGGAGCAGGGAGTGCTGTCCCTGTTCAACAGGGAGGCCTAACCCCATGCATGTGGCCACAGCGGTGTCATCATCTTCACCCACATGCCTGTCCCCAGATGCCCCCTGGCCACAAAAAGGACCTACGTAGGGCAGCACCTACAGTTCTTAAGAGATGAAGCAGGTAAGGTCCCTGGTTGCAGTGGGTGCCCAATTAAAGCTCACCCCCCTTTCCTGGGTGGTGCCTTACTTGCTGCCAGGAGGAATGAGGTCAGGGTGGTGGCTCTCCTGGGAGCACAAGAGTGAGGCCAGCCAGGCCAGCTGACCCAGGGCGGAGGGCTGATTGCCACCTCGTGCCACCCGCCTGGGCAGTCAGGGAAGGTATCCTGGCAGAGGCGATGTGAGAGGTGGCTGAGATTAGCCTGTCCCAGCCTGGAGGCAGGGCTGTGGCCTCATACCCGGGAGACTCAAGCGCTTCCTTCCTTGAGCTGTGTAACCTCAACAGGGAGCTGCCCCTCTCTGAGCCACAGTTTCTCCCTGCAAAATGCGACTCAGGCACCCCCTCTCCCCCAAACGACACCCACCTGGACCCTGACCCCATTTCTCCCGTCTCCCTCCTACCTTGCAGGCTGCCTTCTGCCAGTTCTGGGGCGGTGTGCTCGGTTCAAGGGGCGGCTCTGCAGTCTCCAGGCTGGATGGCCCTGGGCAAGCTGCTGGCCTCTCTGGGCCTCTGATTCCACAGCTGTAGAACGGGATCACGACAGCACCTGGTCAAGGCACGCGACCCCTGCGCAGGCAGCTGTGGACGTCCCACTGCCCCCTTTAGTGCATCCTGCCTCAGCAAATGGCCCTTGGTACCCCTGTCACCCCCAAACCCAATCAGTAAGGCCAGGTGACTCCAGTGTCCCTGGCTGCCTTGGCTCCAGCCACCCCAGCCTCCACGGGCTGTGCCAGGCACGTGCCCCCCTCAGCGCCTCCTCCCTGCTGTGACGCCTGTGCGGGGCCAAGTCTCTCTCCTGGTCTCAGCCCGACCGCCCCTCCTCAGAGAGGCAGCCTGCCACCCTCCTGTACCCAACCCAAGATTACCGGTGTCATTTCACCGCCGCAGGAGGGCAGGGGTCCCCTCTAAACCCCAGGGGCTGCCAGGTGGGAGGTGCACAAATACCTGTAGGAGGAATCAAGCGTTTACTCCTCAGCGCCCAGGTAGTTGGCCAAGAGCATGGCCAAGTAAACAGGCCGGAAGGGACTGATCTTGAGGTCTCCCCACTCCCTTAAGACCAAGGAGGAGCAACTTCCCTGGTGCCCAGCAGCCCTCCTCCCCCTGCTGCCCGGTGGGGGCCCGCCTGGTCCAAGGTCACCAGCCAACATCAGTCCCAGCTCTGCTGTGGCCCCTGCCTCCTCCTGACAGGCAAGAAAGGGAGGACAGGGAGTCGCAGAGCCCAGGCCCCAGCGGCCTGCAGGGAGCGCCTGGTCCCTGCCTGCCTTATCTCCTGGCGCTGCTTTCCAGAGAGTTCAGAGTCCGCCGCTGCTGCTGCTGCTGCTGATTCAACAGTCTGCAGCCATGCAGGGACCTGAGCTGCCCCCGACCCAGCTCTGCACCCCGGGCCAAGTTCCTGCCTCAGCTGCTGAGCCTGGAGGACCTCGGACAAGTCACTTCACCTTCCCGAGCCCCAGTTACCCCGTCTGCTGTGAAGAGGATTTTCAACAAGCTAAAATAAGGCCATCCCACGAGCAAACTGGGGAAAGGCGCTGAAAAATATTGGCTGCTCTGAGCTGAGGTTTTTACAACTGCGTCTAGACAGGGAGGACATGGACAGCCATGCCCCTTGCGAAGGCTGCCTCGGTTACTCCTCAGGAGTCAGTCTGCAAACTGCCTGCTGGGTATGGAGCGTCCACGAGAGGAGCTGTCTGAAAGGCAAGTCATCAGCCCAGGGCTCCAGGGGCACGGCCGGCGCCAGGTCGAGGGGAAACCGAGGCACGGCATTTTGCCGCTCACCTCATGGAAGGAAGCCAAAAACCCCAAGCCCCGGGGGTGAGCCCAGCTGGCCCGAGCGTCCCCGCAGCAGTGGGCGTGGGAGAGGGCGTGGCAGGCGTGGGCTGGAGAGCACGTGCCCAGCACCCCTAGAGCCGCCGTCCAGCGCTGTCCAGCAGGGACCCCAAGGACGTCAGCACCGAGCGCTGGGGCTCCGGGCGGCCCCCCTTCAGGGGCTGTAACGCAGGGGTGGCTGCCGCCGGTCCCTTTGTGCCTCGTGTGGGCGTCTCCCGAGTTCCTGGGGGCGCAGCCGAGCGCCCCCGGGGAGATCAAGGCGGGATGGGGCGCCAAGTGGAGGGCGGGCACGTCTGGGGAGTCCCTTATGGGGTGAGCGGGCTGTCCACGGCCCGGGGCGCCCGCGGCCGGGGAATGAGGGTTCCCCGCAGCGCGACCTGCAGGCGGCCGCGGACGGCCGCAGCCTCCGCC